TTTTTTAGAATAATTCCATTAAATTTGGTCTTAGAAATGTAAATATCAGTTTAAAAATGCATAATTGGGGAATATTTTTGCATTAATTTTTAATTTCGCTAAAGTGAACAATTTCGCAAATGTGAACCCATTTGGTTCGCATTATCGAGCGTGCACTGTATTATCATATCTCATGATCTTTGCAAGTTATATTGATTTGTCTGAAAACGACACCCTGTACGGAATATTGTGTGCCGTAAAAATAATCTCCATGTTAAATTATAATCATTCTGCAAGGAAAACCCTAACCGATTTTCATTAAACTTCCTGCTATTGATTACAGGGTGTCGTTTTCATGAAAATTTAAAACTTTTTAGTTTGGAATGATGGAATAATTCTCTTTTTAACCGACTTCAAAAAATGGAGGAGGCTATCAATTCATCGGAATATATTTTTTATGTATGTTACCGTATAACTTTCCTTTCTTTTTTTTAAGAAAAGGTGGTACCTCATGGGTGGTCCGACACTAATTTGGTTTAGATCCGAACATTTGATCTTGAAGAAATTAACGATAATCTTAACAATCTTAAATTTTTATATGGGAATTAAAGCCGGTTTCGTTTTTTGCTTAAAAATTACTTATTTTAATACCTTAACAACGATATCAATTAATGAAGTTATATGAAAACCCCGATTTAGTTGTTTTTACAGGGTGTCGAAAAACACAATTTTACACTTCTGAAATACTCTCACAGTGAGTGTACGAAATCGCTTGGAAAAAATTCAACTTTTTTTTTGTGACAGTTAACACATCAAGTGTCAAGCATCACACCAACGCATGTATGTAAATCATTTCCGAAAGTATTTTAATGATAATGGAAAGCTATGCAATAAATTGTACTTCTTTATCAGAGCAGAAAAAGTACACAGAGAAAAGTATATGTATGTATGTACATATGTGCATCTATGTAAATACATACGTGTGTTCATAAAGTAAATACGAAGCCAAGGTTAAGGTAATCCGTTTGCGTTTGTATAAGTCTCAAAACAAAATTGTTTATAATACATACATACATACATAAATACTTCCCTTTTTCTAAAATAAACTCAAAGTAAATGCGCTGAGTTGTTTTGTGCCCTTGCAATTGTACTATCCGCTATTTATTTTAGACATTACAAGCGCTTATGATATTAAATTATAACTGTTATTATTAAACAGGATTTTGATGATTTCACAGTGAAACGCTCAAAAAATGATGGGAATGAGACAATTTCATTCATTAAAAGAGGATTCCGATAGAATACCTAACCAAATATAATATTTGTATGGCAAGATTTTTCTTTAAGGCGACAAACCCCTACAAATGGGCGTGGCAGTTGCAGGACTAAAATTAGCTAAACGCAGACTTTATTGCGGATTTTCGGTAGAATATCGCTTAGTTAACAACATTTGTTCCACAACTTTTTCAATCCATATAGATATTCTGGCGAGATCCACAATAAAGTCTAAATTTTTGAACTTTGGTTTTAATATAGCCACGCCCATTTCTAGAATATTCTTTGATTGAAAAAGTTGTGGAACAAATGTTGTTAACTAAGCCATATTCTGCCGAAATCTGCAATAAAATTTGCGTTTTGCTACTTTTAGTCCTGCAATTGCCACGCCCATTTCTAGAATATTCTTTGATTGAAAAAGTTGTGGAACAAATGTTGTTAACTAAGCCATATTCTGCCGAAATCTGCAATAAAATTTGCGTTTTGCTACTTTTAGTCCTGCAATTGCCACGCCCATTTCTAGGGGTTTGTCGCCTTATAGAAAAATCATGCCGTACAAATATTATACCTGGATAGGTATCCTATCGGAATGTGCAATAAAATTTAAATTCTTGCAAAAACACGATGTTTAACACCTTACTAAATATATCTCAACATAAGTTTTCGAAAAAAAAATTACAAAAAATTGTTGATTCTCACAAAATAAACCATCTCGTCATAAAGAAAAATATTTTAAAAGTGTTTCTTGAACCACGTATTTTATAGAGAATTAACCAAGGATTACGATGGTATAATTTTAAATCCCTAATTTACTGGTCTTCACTATGCAAATCAACTTTAAAAAGTTCAACTGTTCAACTGTGGGTTCACGCCGAGTTTCCGACCAACATAAAAAAGAAAGTATATATTTTCTAATAGCGGTCGCCAAAAAAATGGTTAAATAAACAATTGGGTATTATTCTTTTTTCCCATATAAAATACATGGGAAACTTCGAGCACTTTGAGGGACCTCTAAATATTTTTTTTATTAAAAAAAAAACAAATTTTTTTCTATATAGAACAATCCTAGGCGTGAGAGCATTGAAATTCCGATTTTACTTTTCTCATATGCATTTTTGGGTCATCCTAATGTACATACATATAAACGAAATTGCGCACATTCTTAACGCAATAAAGAAGGCATTTCGGGCTTTGTGCCGCGTGTGACAGGTATTTCGAAGCTTTCACTCTTATTTACTTCCATTTGTCTAAGTGCAAAAGCATATTTATGGATGGATATCTTATATGCCTTTGATTAACATTATTTGTATTGCTTCTTGCTATTTTTGGGCATTCGCTCTTGATTTTGTCACAGCAAGTCAAGAGAGTGAGTTTATTAATTAAGCAGAACAAGTAAAAAGTCTAGGTTCGAACGGAGCCGAACATTAAATTGCCGGTGCAAGTATTAAATATAGTTTTTTCACCTTTTCGAAAACTACCGCTACATGGTAACAGAGGTGGTTTTAGCCCTATTTCAAACATCTTCCATAGAACGTTCACTTAGACATAATTAGATGTGTGGGCGGTATCACTCCCATTTTCCAAAATTTCATAATAATGTTACATCTTTTCAAAAGATTGTTGTTAGTATCAATTTCAAGTAAATTTGCGTCCGTTATTCGAAATATTGAAGTTTCAAGTATTTTTAAAATTTACCGTTATATGAAAATTGGGCGTAATTTTAATCCGTTTTCAATAATTTGCAGCGTTTTGCTTTGATGTGGCAAGCACAAAAATCATACCGAGTTTGGTACGAATTGGTCGTATGGTCACCGAAATACAGATATGTGGTCATAAGTGGGTGGTGCCACACCCATTTTTCAAAATTTTATCATAAGTGTATTTTTTGCTAAAGAATTATTGCAAAAATCAATTTTGAATAAATAAGCTTCATTATTTACTGATTTATCGAAGATTTCGTATTTCTCTAAATTACCGTTATATGGGATGTGGGCGTGGTTATTGTCCAATTTTAAAAAATTTCAGCCGTCTTATAGGTTGTACCAAGGCCAATAACTTTTCCAGGTATGGGAAAAATTAGTGAAGCGGTTACCAAAATATACACATGTAATTATAAGGGGACGTGGCTACGCCCATTTTCTAAAAATGTATAATATTCTTATTTTTTTAGTCTAAAAATCATTGTAATTATAAATTTTGAGTTATTAAGCTTTTGTAGTTACTAAAATATCGCAGCTTTTGTATTTATGGAAACTACCGTTATACCATCCGCCTACGCTGAAAAGAAGTACACGTACCAAGTTTCGTTAAGATATCTCAATTTTTACTCGAGTTATCGTGTGCACAGACGGACAGGCAGTCGCCGCTTAATCGATTTCTTTTTTCATTCTGATAATTTATGTATATATTTGTCTATATCTATCTCGATTCGTTTTGGCTGTTACAAACAACCGTTATGTGAACAAAGTTATAATACCCTTTTGCATAAGTGCGCTCGGGTATAAATATATTTACTTACAGCTGCAAATTACAGTTAACTTAGCACGCCTCTTTGCGTCAACTCAACGTAGATCTCGCATACGCCATGCGGCACCGTTGTCTTTCGCAATAATTACTTAAAACAAGAAAATGCTGGATGTAGCCTAAAAGTGTGCTACGTAATACTATGAAGGTGCCATGAAAAACCCAATGATATTTAAATACATATATGCATACATATGTGTGTATTAGGGATGTTTCGAATGTCATATTTTTCACATCGCGAATGGGAATGCGAATTTTCGGAATGCGAATGCGAATGTTAGGAATAACATTAAAAAAGCTATAACTAACTTAAGTCATCGTTTTATAAATCACTAGAACATTGAACCAGTGCTTAAACTGCACCAAAAATAACCGTTATTATGAAGGATTTTTATTTTAAAATCATTGCTAAATCGTTTTTTATCGTTTTTATTTTTTATAAGTTTTAATTGTTATTTTATGTTTTTTATTTTATCGATAAAAATAGTCGTTATTCAATGATTTTTATTTTTTCAGCCAAAAATAATCGTTGTGATTGGACTTTTATTATGCCGATCATTTTTAATCGTTATTTTATAATTCTCATTTTTTTATCATATTATAACCGTTATTTTCAGATTTGATTTTATAGATAATAAAAGGTTTAAATCAGTAATAAAAACGCAGTCTCAATTATAACCGTTAAAAGTGATCGAAAAAGGTATAAATCCAAAATAACGATTAGAGCTGATCAAAAAAATAAGTCATGAAGTAACGATTAAAGATGATCGTAAAAATAAAAATCACATAATAACGCTTAAAGATGATCGAAAAAATAAACATTAAGTAATAACTATTAAAAATTATCGGAAAAATGAAAATTACAAATTAACGATTTAATTATGATTTTCTGGGCCTCGAGCTTAAGAAAGAAAAAAATACAACAAATAGGTACAATTTCATAAAAAAATAAGAAGTATTGTTAAAACAAAAAAAAAAACTAGCTCAAACTTTTTAAAATGGCTCTCCTTTTTACATTCTCTCTACCGTATTTAAGTATTTGTTGTAGCTTTTTCAATCACGTACTTTGTAAATACTTTACAAATACGGAATGTGCATGATTTTATTCACCACTTCATTGTAACCTTATTTCATCAAATCAGCTAGAAGAAGAATACGTTAAATGACAATACAACTGTCACATTTCCAACTGTCATATAGCGATTTTTCTTGGACTTCGGCTGTATCGGCGAGCGGGTTTGCTTTTTTGCAAATTTTTTCAATTTTTCATAAGTAAAAAATACAAAAAACACATCAGCAAAATGACCAACGCATGGAGAGCAGCTGGGCTTACGTAAGTATTGCTGAGGAATGCAAAAGTCCGCGATAATTCAGTGTAATTATCGCTTGATAGCGTATCTATTACCATACCCACATTATGTAATATCAATTTGATATGCAATTCCTTATTTGTTTTGTCTGTTCCAGCTACATCCAATACTCCAACATCTGCGCTCGTGTTGTGCGCCAAGCGCTGAAGGCCAATTTGCGAACCGATGTAAGTTAAATGCTGAAAATCCATTGAAATAATTGTAATTCCATTTTCTTTTGTAGGCTGCTAAGCGCAATGAGACCCATGTGAGGTTCACTCCTTGGGTCGATGGAAAACCAGCACGTAAGTNCTGTGGGAGGAGTCCAAGGGAGGGGTTCCCCTTTTTAGAAAGCGGCGACTGTCTCCTTTCTATTGGGGGGTGTTTTGGGGGCCCCGCCCCCTCCCCCTCCGCCCCCCACCCAAAAAACGGTGTGAGTGGTACTAAACATTTCCCAAAACATTTAATATACTTAATATTTGAATCAATATATAATCGAACTCCAGAAAATGTGCCTACCTTATTAGGGTACATCACAGTATACAGTAAAGTATGGCAAAATTTTGGAGAAATCGTTTTGTAAAACATTTAGTAAAATGCATCAATGCAGCTAAATTTAACCGACAAGGTCTAATTAAAATTCATGCTTGAATTGTCACCTTAAATTCATAAGAAATAGTCATTAGCTAGAATATTTAAATTTCTTTCTTAAAAATTTAAATCGAAATTTAAGCCTGACAGGGTCAAGTACCTATTCAATTATTAGAATATTATTTACAAATTTTTAATTTTATTATATTTTACTATTAAATTTTCAGATGAAAAGTAAAACAGCATCGAGCTAAACATTTGTTTAAATTATAAAAAAGTATGCGATGTAGTAAGTGAAAATAGACATCAGTTGTTTCGTTTCCCAATTAATTGGTTAAACAACTAACGTTCTTGTTTTTTGCTTGTTTAACTTTTTCCTCTATGTTTTATATACGATTCCTGCTTTCAAACAACGTGTCGTACACAGAATCCAAATATAAACAAACAAAAATCTCCTGCTTTAAAAAAGTATTCCTGCCAAATGATCGAT